CAGCAGGTGGGAGCATGGCCCCCTGCTCTCCAGCCACTGACTGGTTTTGCCCAAATGGCCCCAGTTCGCTCAGACGTGAACAAGGGCTGGAAGCCAAGCTGTGGGCAAAACGCTAAAAGTGACAGGGACCCTTCAGTGCCACCGCCCTCAAATGGCTGCTCATACCCACAGGGAGGACTCGGCTCCATCTGAAACAGGACAACAGTAGGACACTTGCCCAAAAGGGACATCCTCGCCAGGGTTCGGCCAAGGATGGTCACAGAGACAGGAAAAGAAGGTGGAGATCCACCAGCACCTCTCCACCAGGGAGTTCTCCCGGGGAGAGCACGCACCCTGCTGTAGGCGTTGGGGGTGTGCCTGGAGAAATACACCATGTTGTCGAGGGCAAGGAGTCCTGGCGGGGTGCGGCGGAGATCCTCCGCTGGGTTGCTGTTGTTCTGGGAGGAACACAAAGGATGCAGTTTGGCAGCTGCTGCTTTCTTCTCTGAGCAGCAGAGTCCTCCTGACACAGCCACGGGGTTTACATTTTGACTCCCAGCAGCTCCGCAGCATTCGCTGTGTAGCGGTGCCAAGGGACAAGGAGGGAGGTACTGCCCGGTGGGATCCACAGGGACTTGGGGACACCAGGCTCAGGGGAGCCATTGGAAGGTGCTGCCGAGGCCAGGTGGCAGAGCCAGTGTGGGGCTAGGAAGGGGATGCAGGGGGGACACACCATGAAGCCCAGCTTGCGGAACTCCTTGGCACACAGGGATCGCCGGCGCTCGGTGCTGAAGTTGCTGGCTGGCGCCTCGTTCTCCGACTCAAAGGCAGTTTGGCGCAGGGACTGGAGGAGCTCCCGCTGTTCCTGGAGGGGGAGTGGGGAGAAGGGGATGCCGGTGAGCCCCAGGCAAGCAGGTTCTCCCAGGACAAACCAACAATGAAATCAAATGTTCTGGGTTCACCCAAGGGCAAACCTTCACCCGCCTCTACTTCCACAGGTGGGAGAGAACAGAGCCAGACTCGCAAGGAGAGCGCTCCCAGACCTGTGAGTAGGGATCCATGGAGGTCCTCATACGGCGCTCACAGAGGTTGAGGCTGACGGACTGCAGCACATACAGGTAATGGGCCATCTCATCCCCCAGCGGCTCGGAGCTGTGGATGATGTTCTACAGGAGACCGCAAGTGAGAAGGTTCCCCCAGGCTGCTGCTCCTGGTTCCTCCAAGTCCAGGGCAAACCAGCCAAAGCCCAGTGGGTCCTGATGCTTGAAGGGGCATTAGGAAGCGGGCAGCTGGGTGTGCTGCCAGGGGTGCAACCCTGGGCACGTGGGTGCCAGCACAGCAGCACCCACAGGAGGCATCAAGGAAGGGGTGCATGCATGCAGGCAACCCAGCCAGGCATGGTCACCAATGGCAGGGGCTGAGGGGACAGAGGCTGGGGAGGAAGGATAGAGGATGAAGCACAGAGCAGACCCTTGCATGACCCCAGCTCCTCACCTTGTGGATAAACTGCCGGATGTTCTTCTCCCTCAGGTAGTCCATCATGTCCTAGGAAGGGAAGAGGCTGTGAGACATTCCCCAGCTCAGCACACCACTGTTTCCCCAAAAAAAAAAGCCGGTGTTCCTTCTGCAGACCCGCTTCCCTGCCGGCCTTGGGCCACGGGCAGGGTGGGGACAGAAAGGAACTGGCAGCCTCAGGAGTGACGCTGGTGAGCAGCCAGGACCAGCCCACCCCAACAGGGCTCAAACAGATCCACCAGGCTGCCAGGACAGGTTGCGTCAGTCAAGAAGAGGCAGAGCAAGGACACCGACTCGGAACATCTCCGGGCACCTCTCGCAGCCCCACCATCCCAGAGGACACAAGCACTACAGCAGCGGACCCAGCTGCCCAAGAACCTGTCACAGGCAGAGCCCAGCTGTGATGGCCCAGATGTGCCAGGTGCTGGGTCTGAGCCATCGTGGCCGCTGTGCCACCACCAGCCCTGGTACTTCTCCCAACACTTAAGATCTTACATCCCCCCCAAAACTACTTCAAGGGGTGCGAGATGGCAGAGGCCTGTTGGCAGAGAACCTTTGTGACAGGGGCACTGGGGCGCTTGGATCTGCAGTGGCCACCACCCTGCTGTCATCTGGTCCTGCCTCCCGCCCGCGGACACAGAGCAGCCCCTTACCTGCCGCTCAGCGTCGGTGGCAGCCAGCAGCAGCGCAATGAGCAGGGCCATCGCCTTCAGCTGCAGCTGGGCATTTGTCCTGCAGAAGGAGGATGATGAGGATGGGGAGAGAGTCACCAGCTCCCAGGATGGTCTTGCCCTCCCCAAGGGAGAATCCTCGCCCTCCTTCACTGGTGGACCCCACTGTGCAGAGCTGGGGGACCCAGAGAGGCCGGAGCCATGAGTGAGCACTGCTGGCAGCAGGATGGGGCTGGGAGGGTCCTCGCAGCTGAAACTGCCAAGCACCCATGCATGGGTCAGGTACTACTCTGCACACACCCGCGGGTGCAGCATTTTGGAGCTGCAGGAAAAGCCAGGGTGAGCAGCAGACTCATGTCTGGCAGGAGCCCTGGGCATGAGCTTCTTCATTTTCTAGAAAGAAAAACCTCCAAACTGAAGAGACAGAACCATAGAATCATTCAAGTTGGAAAAGCCCTTTAAGCTCCCCAAGCCCAACCGTTCCCCTAACCCTGCCATCCCACCACTAAACCCTGGCCCTAAGCACCTCCTCTGCCCGGCTTTTAAATCCCCCCAGGGATGGGGATTCGACCCCTTCCCTGGGCAGCCCCTTCCAGTGCTTGACAGCCCTTTCGGGGAAGAAATTTTTCCCGATGTCCAACCTAAACCTCCCCTGGTACAACTTGAGGCCATTTCCTCTTGTCCTATCACCTGTTACCTGAGAGAAGAGACCAACGCCCACCTTGCTAGGACCTCCTTTCACGTAGTTGTAGAGAGCGATAAAGTCTCCCCCTCCCCTGAGCCTCCTCTTCTCCAGGCTCAACCCCCCCAGCTCCCCAGACACTCCCCAGCAGCCTGGGGCTCCACACCCCTCCCCACCTTCCTTGCCCTTCTCTGGACACGCTCCAGCCCCTCCAGGTCTTTCTGGGAGTCAGGGGCCCAACCCTGAACCCAGCATTCCAGGGGCGGCCTCACCAGTGCCCAGCACAGGGGCATGGTCACTGCCCTGCTCCTGCTGGCCACACCGGTCCTGATACAAGAGGTATTGGATACAAGATGCAGAGGTATGAGGCAGATGTGGGAATGAAGTACCTGCCTTAGCTGAGGGGTTTAACAAACTTGTTCAGCACAGCACCTCCACCCCAAGTTGCAGGGAATATGCTACTAAATACACGGGGGAATGGGAAGGAAGAGCCAAAGCCACAAAAATGGCAGGTCAGCTCAAGAACTAATATATCTGAAGGGAACAGGACACAAATGAAGGAATCTGACCTAGAAATGGGATGGTTTTCAGGATGGTCCATCCCTCCCCCAGCAGCGGGGACAAGACAGGCTGCCTACCCACGAGTTGTTTAGGAAGGGATACTACAATGTTGCACCAGGGATAAATCCCTCCATGGCCTCATCCCCACCAGCTTCAGGATGGGGGTGAATGGTGCTCTGGCCTCTCCACTTACACCTGCAGGTGGGTGAGAAGACGATCCAGGGTCACTTCTTTTTTGACTAGCTCAAAGAGGAGGCGACTGGTGGGTACCATGTTCTCCAAGATGGACAAAGAGAGCTGCTGAACAGATGCATTCACTGCGTTCATATTGACGTAGCTCACTATCTACAAGACACAAAGCCATCCGTCAACAGCAGGCTGAGCCTGGGTGACAGGGGCAACAAGGAATCCCAAGGGCATGGGCTGTGGAACCTGCAGAAGGCGCTTACCTTCTTGATGAAGGCTGCACTAAGAGCGTCCCAGGAAACAAAATCATGCTCCATCAGCTCCATGAAGGCCTTCAGGGTGTGAGCAAGCATCTCCCCTGTACTGGAGGAACAGACAAACGCAGTGAAGTGGGTCCAGATACCCCAGCGTCACCACCATAATGCAGGGGCACAGTTGCACGTTGGTGTGTACGTCAGAAATAACTAGAGAAGCAGAGAGCAGCGAGCAGGAGAAGAAAGGAAAGAGAGACTGTAAGAAGTCGGGCTCTCACTTAGTCACCCCAGGAAGTCGAGGCAGGGGAAGTTCAACAGTTTCTGGAAAGCCACGTTACCACCACGGTACAAAGATCACTGCAGACAAGCCCTTGGGAAAGCCAAGCCACCCCAAATCCCTCCCCCTGCTTCCACGAAACACAAGCTGTGCTGCCTGGCTTTGGGCTCCACATCCTCTGTGTGATAAGAGCTCAGAGAAGATGCACCATCACAGCCTGAACGAGCCAGGCAGGCGCTAGTTTGGCAACCAGGGGTTTCTCCAGCTGCCTGCAGACCTCTCGCAGCCAAAAACCTCACGGCAGAGGGATTATTCGGGGTGGCAGGAATGAGCGGAAGCTGCAGTCATCACAAGAGGTTTCCTGACAGCAAAACCCATGGGGCTGCAGAGGAACCCAGCTAGCAAAGGGATGGGAGGTTAAAGTCTAGGCACATTCACAAGGAGTCAGGGCCACAGACCCCTGGGGACCTTCCCCCTGCTGCCAGTGTGGGGGGACGCAGCCACGTACCTGCAGGTAAGGAGCCTGCAGAGCCAAGGGCCCTGCTGCCGGCACTGCCCTGCGTGCCGCAGCACAGGGATCAACAAGCCAGGAACACGAACCGAGTCCACTCCAACACCCAGCTTGGAGCTCATGCAGCATTAGCAAGGGAGAAGAAAAGTCAAGAACTGCAAGGGAAGTCCTCTCCTGGTACTCACTCATTCCCTTCCTCCACAATATAGAAGATTTGTTTCAAGCCATTCCTGTTGATGAACTCCTGAGCAAAGGTAACGTCTTGGGAGAGGCTCGCAAGCTTCTTCAGCGAGTCAGTCTTCACATCCGAGTTGTTGCTCTGGATCCCGCTGTACAACCTCTCTGCTTCTTGGTCCTACCAGGAAGGAAAGAATCAAGCCAAGGGGGCTCATTGAAAGAGAGCGAGAAGCTTGGATAAGGCTGGAAGAGCTTAAGCACAGGTTTTGGAAGGAGGCTTGGGGTAGAGCACCCCGGTGAGGAGCTGGACCAAGAGACAGAGCCTCTGGAGCAGAGACCAGGAGGAGCTGAGGAAGGAGGTCAAGCTGGCATGATGCTAAGAACGCTTGATGAGTTGGCCCATGCGTCCAGAGCATCTCAAGATGATTTAGTTTCTCTTCAAACTCCCCTGAGCTCTGCCGAGGGAGAATGAAGGTCGAGACAGGTCTAATGGGTGTGAGGCACCGAGTGGAGCCATCATGAGCCAGAAGTCGCCAAGCGAGGCAGCGGCAGAGGGCTTGGAGCACCACATTGCCCCATCGCAGGGGGAGATCCCACCAGAGCACGCAGCGGAGAAGGAGCCAGGGGGACAGAAGGATGTACCGGGGAGGTGGTCAGCCGTAAAATGCTCCCATTCTTAATCTCCCCACGGTTCTGTAAGGAGAAAGGAACTGGTGAGATGGCGAGCACCGTGTCAGCGGGGCTGGGGAGGGGTTGGGGGGCATCTCACCAACTCGGTGATGTATGTCTGCCGCCCGTCCGCGTACTGCAGGGCATAGTGCTCGGCGTTGGGCAGGCTCCACCTGCGGCAACGGGCAG